GAAAGAAATAAACACCCACGCATATCATAAATCCCGAACAATTAAACAGAAACGGCGCCCGCATACGAACGACTATGGGAATGACACACGTGATTACTGAATGTGCACACGAACTTTTGCTAACTCAACGAATACTAGGAAATAGGACACAACCTTGGTACCATTGGAAAGGTGGGAATAAATGAAAATTTATGATACCAAGAACGTGAGAAAACATCCAGAAATGAATGAGATATAGGGACATGGAGTTAGAAACCTGAAAACGCGCGGGAAAACAGCTTCAAGAGGTCCAGTGTCCCAAATAAAATACATAAAAATATGATATCTTCAAGGATGACCTACTATAACAACCAACAATACATATGGAGGATTAGGATGTTGTTAGAACGGGGCGGAAACGGACGACTCCGGAGTGGAATCGGAGACTTAGCGTGGAGGGACCTTGGCCTCAGCGACTCAAGTGGAGCGCTGTGCCATTGCTGTTTGTCCATTTGGTCCTTAATTTCACAGTAGGTGAGCAGGAAGTCTCTAGGGGGCATTTCAGGTCGATTTCGGACTGAAACCAGACGAGTATGTACAAGCACCGATATATATAAAGAAGGGGCAAAAGCACAAGGAGAACAAAGGGTGACCGAATCGGAACGAAGACGTCCGAACGGGAACAAAGGGTAGAGGGAGCGGGGCAGTACCAAAGGTCATAGGGCAAGACCTGTGATACGTCTGAAAGGAGGTAGAGAGGGCGAGGCCCAGAGGGGCAGGAGGATGAGGGGAAGTGGGGGTGATGACTAACTGGCTAGAATAGAAGGAAGCAGTAGTCCAAATAGGGATGAGGGGGAATTGCGAGAAATACATTACAAAACGGCGAGAGTGCTGGAGGCGGTCCACGAAGCTCAGGGGTTGCGGAGCTTACGGAGCTTACGGAGGCGGGGTTGGAAGTCCGAGGAATATTGGCAATGGTGTTTACGTAGTATGAGGTCACCAATGCAATGGACTAAGACCGAGGTGGAGTCAAAGTCCGAGGTAGGGACTATGACGGAAGGCTCGGAGTAAGGTACGAACGGTGTCCGAGTACGAAGTATGGAACAGCGGTGGACGGTCGTAACTTGGCGGAAGGGTAACGGAAGGAGGAGAGAGGGGAAAGGTAAGGAAGAGGGAGTGGTGGAAAGGAGAGTAGTCAGGTCCGAAGGTGAGTATCGGAACGGACGGGGGAAGCATAGGGGGATGACGGGTGGTGGTGTTGTGAGGGAGGAGCGGAGTTGTAGGAAGGGTGGCGAGTGGGGCGATGTTCGGTCCGAGATGAGTATCGGAGCGGACGGAGAAGGGGTCGGAGAGGTAAGAGGAGGGGTGTGTTGCCAAGACCGAAGGTGAGTATCGGAACGGCAGCGGTAGGTTATGACTCCGGAGGTGAAGAGGGTGGAGGTCCGGAAGTCAGGTCGGGGTCGAGTATGCACGAATATGACAGTCCTCATCGCCCTTTTAGTTTTGTCACACTTGCCATTCCGCTCCCATCCCATGCCGGACCGACCGGCCCCTTCTCTGTTCTCCTTTCGTACTTATACTTGTAGTTTACTGTTGATGTACCTCAGTTTGAATATCGACTAGAAATCCCCCCCAAGTCTTCTCACCTCTAAGTTCATCCCTAAGTTCCATCTTCGTCTGAGTAAACGTCGCCGCAAGGTCCTCCCACTACCCTGAAATATGGGACAGCCTAGAATGTGTGGCGCAACGCTCCAGCTGAGTCATTGAAGCCGAAGTCCCACCTCCCAAGACGCCTTGCAATGGAGTTGCACATTAGCTAAGTGACCACTCACACCACCGCACTCCACTCCACTTCCCATGAATACCTTGAATACCATTTCTGACACCTGCTTGGCAACCAAGTGAACTGTCACAACCGACAAATCCCGGGGCTCCATCAGTGGCAAACCAATGCCGATAGGCGAATCCGCTGACCCGAAACCCATCCTAACCAACCCCCAACCCCATGTCTGGCCCCCTGCCTTACTGTGTGAGACTTGGCCAATAATCAGAACCTAGACCCTGCCGGCATTCCGACCTTACCTCCAGTTCCTGAGCCCTTGGCGCTCCCGGCATTCAGTCATGCCTGCCTTGTCTCCATCTGAACCACACTCATCGCTTCCCACTATGTGGTCACAGCCATGCCCCGCTTCCGTGCATTCCGCACCCTCTGCCCACTCCACACCCTCTGCCCATCTCTGCACCCTCTGGCCACTTCTGGTTGTCCTTGACACCTCTGGTCAGGTCAACACTCCCACTCCCCTCTGTACCTCTGTTGGCCTTCATGCTGTCCTTGTGTGACAGTGCTGGCAGATCAACCTCTGTTCGCGGACTTGTGTCGGCACCGCACCGACCCTGCTTATTTGTGGACTTGTATCGGCGCCGCGCGCTGACCTCCGCTTTTCTCTGGCCATCTTGTCACTCGGCGGCATACCATTCATTCCTTGCTGAGTGCCTATATTGTTCATCCATTCATTTGCTTAACTTGCCAATATTGGCACTTGATCCATGTGCTGATGCACTTTTATTACTGTCAGGGACGCGTCCGGGGTAGAGGAGGCCCGGGTGAGACACCCGACACTAGAAGCCTCGCGGGGTGTGGAGCGGGCGTGCATACTGGCGGGCCCGGCTCAGGAGGCAGTCCCTGGCCACTTAGACTGAAGTGGAAAAGGGTGAGAAGAAGGCTACTTCTTCAGTTCCCATTTCAGGTATGTTTATATACATGCGGCTTAGGTCACATGATGGGTGCCACATCATCCTCGCATACAGCCGTAGTCACCCAGGTGTCCCCGTGGGGGATCCCGAGGGTGTCTGCTGTGAACGCGCGAGCTGGACATAGCGGGGGTCGCCCGAGGCGCCTGGGCTGGGCGTGTCGTGAGCGCACTGCAGGTGGGTCAATGGTACATTGATACAAGGAAAGGTCGTCCATGTAGAATAAAGAGAAAATAAAGAGAAGGTGAGATAAGTAAAGAGAGAGTGGAATGGAGAAAGAAAGAAAGAAGAAGGGGGGGAGGAGGTAGGGGAAGACTGGGTGGTGGGGTACCAGGTGAAGTGGGGCCGGGTGGGGCCAGGTCAGGCGGGTGTGCCCTGACAATTACCTGTCAATATTGGCACTTGATCCGCTTTTGTTTAGTTCATTGCCTCCCATTTCCCGGGCTCTTGTCCTTCATTCAGTTTGACAATTGTCAGGGGATGACTCCCGGGTCCCCATGACCCTCCCCTATGGTCCACAGCCTGACCTATGAACAGCCCTATCCAGGGCACAATCCTACTGTGGGTAAGGAGATGAATAGATAAACAGTAGGTAAGGAGATGAGAAGGAAGCTAACTTCTCATCTTCCCACAGTGGCCACCATATCAGGAAAACTTCCGGGGATACCCGGAAGTCACATGAAGGAGTAGGAACCGGGCCCGGAGCATGTGGCGCGCGGAGCGTGCATGCATGCGGGAAGCGCAGCAGGTGGAAGCGGGTCCGGACGCGGGTCCGGGTCCGGGCTAGTCAGGGTGTGTGCCCTGACAACAATCCCCGCTTATTTCCGCACCGGACCACGCCGGACTGACCGGTCCTTCTGTGTTTCCCTCCTGCCTATTTATATCCTGTAAATACTTTCGGGGACCTTAGTCTGAAATCAACTAGAGTACCCCCCTGTCTGGTCTGAGTCTCTCCTTCTGCAAAGGGGGCTTCCCCCCCTCTGAATCCGTGCTCGTGGAGTCCGCGTTCCTCCTACAGGTCTGCTCCACCTGCAAGTCTTGTTTGAAGTCTGCTGTGAGTGTCAATCCGTAAATACAGGATCTCCCCCAAATGTCAAGCTCAGGGCACAGCGCTCCACCTGAGTCGCTGAGGCCACGATCCCACTCTGCTAACCTTGAACAGCGCTTCCGGACGCGCCGCATATTTCCGCCCGCATATCCGTGCGCACGCTCCAACAGAACTCTGCACCACCTCCGACCTCGACTCAGACAGAAACCCAATCTGTCTTCTATCCATCTTCTGACAGTCTGCCAGACTCTAACAATATTCCCAGTCTCTGACAGCATTCCAGATCTCTGACAGTATTCCGACTCCGACAATAATCCAGACTCTGACATGAACCTACAAAATCCCTCTGAGATGAGCACAAAAGGAAATATACATGTGATCATGGCTGAACAAAAAAATGATGGGAATTGATTTAGAAACCAGCCAACGACCATTGCCTACATGTGACATTATTATGTAATAAATATTCATTGCGTGCGGTCTCATTGTCCCCTCCCCATTATTCCCCAACCCAACCCAATTACCAAACTAAAATTATTAATTACCATTACAGCACTTGTGTATTGTAGAATGTGCTCAGAATAGGGTTTGTTTAGTGCAGTTAGTGTAGCATTGCTTATCGGTGTTATATATACATTGAAGTCATCCTCGTGCAATAACTGTGGCAAAAAAAAATCCACCAAGAATGAATCAAACCTGCACAAGCAGGGGGGAGACAGGCTCATAAACAGCACTATAATCCACTAGACCAAGTAGACCTCACATGGATCCAGTCCTAAAAGTAATATATAAAGTGTTAATTTCAGCCACGGATCCGGGGTTGATCGCGAAGTCAAAAGCCACCCAATGTACATTTTTCATGACATTGATCACCCCTTGGAATTGAAGTTTTTTATCTTAAAAGTTTTCTAAGGGAGAAAAAAAGAAACACCATACAGGACTCAAACCAAGATCCACCCAGACATGGGATTGAAGAGAATCCGGCACCGGCCGCTAAGCCAAACCGCCATCGCCAGGGGTCTTGACCAAACCATATATATGTATACTTAAACTGGCCTCACAATTCCCTCGCCCCCCTTCATCCACTATTTTTTTCTTACTGCATGCAACTTTCTGTTCCGTTAAATGCCCCACAGTTATGAAGGCACCCGTGCGTCTTCACACTTGCATCCTATTCATTTCCTTCATTGTAATTGGCGGATTCAAAAAAAATATCATCATTTTCATATTTGTGTAAATTCATCAAACACGTGATTTTTTGCGCTCATCTCAGAGGGGTTTTGTAGGTTCACTTTGGCAGCCGTACCTGTCTCCAAAAAGGGTAACATCCAATAACCCTTTGTTCTCACAATTGGATTTGCATCGTATCCAATGCATGGGCGCCTATCTGCTGCCTTTTGACAAATATCAAGTCAGCCGTGGCTGAGCAGGCTTTCCCCTCCCTCCTCATCTCTTGCATTGATAACAATCTACACTGGTGCTATGGCTCCCAAACGGAAACCTTCGTGGCAATATCCCGCCCTTGCGCCGTCTTCTGGTGATCCGCGGTCATCACAACCCCAACCCTCGAACTCTTCACTTCCCCAGATTCGTTTCACAAGGGCTCGGACAGGCCAAATCCATGATAACACCAGCTATGATCAGCTTGATGGTCCCCATCTCCAGCCTCCCGGGGTCCGATCTACTCCGCAATCCTCCAGCGGGTCTAAGGGTTCGGAACGGCGGATATCTCCAGGGCGTCCTGTAACAGAGCTTCTCCGCAGAAGCCCCGATCCAGACCTATCGAGCGCACCCAATCTCACGAAGTTTGTACCGACTATGCCCAGCCACGCATCTCCGGGTGGTTCCAGGCCGTCGTTATCTCGCCCCTCCTTCCCGGGGAGTATAGACAACCGCCACTCGACTTCTACAATACAACCCATTTATGACCCCCGTGCAATCCTCAATGCACACGAAAAATACATGGATATGGATACGGACACCAGTGTGCTGTCTCCTCCGTCGGGGGAAACATCATCGTCGTCCGCTATCCCAGCTGGTGGTAGAAAGGAAACGGCTATCAGCGTCACCATATCCATGCTTCGATCTGCATCCTCTGCTTTCAAAATCTCGCCTGTCCCATATGCCAGCCAAATTTTGGATTCCCTTGTGACGTTGCTCCAAGGTTATGAGGTCTGTGTGACATTTTGGTCTGGTGGTCAGCGACGGAGTTGCTCATGTTTCTTCCACCCGACTTGCAGACCATTGACAGCAATAATAAAAATCTCGAGGGCCTTCATGATGAGGTCCGTAAAGCTTACATCACCATATTGCGCCCACTTCAGCTCTGTACGAGCCAAATCCCGCCCGAAGTGATTTTCCTATTTAAAGAATTCCACTCGTACGTTGCAAAGTCCTTTCCCTTGACCGCTCATCTGACCTCGAAGCCGTTAACAGCACTTTGGAAGGCCAGGTTAAGCGCATCGAATCCCTGAAAAGTCTGAAGCGTTTGGTGAAATTCATATCGGCCACAAAGATAGCTCGGGACATAAGTGATGTAAAGACGTGTATCAATACGGCGATTGTTTCGTTCTCGGTTTGTAAATTTTTCTCTCAAGCGCTGAATATTAACCAACCAAACAACTCGACAGGCGGAGGCAACGACGTTGAACCTCCTTCAGACAATTCAATCATCAGGGCAATGTGCGTCTCTCAGGTTCTCCATGCGTCTGAACACCCCCGCTAACACACTCTCAGTGGAGTTGTCAAGACTGAAGCCCGCATCTGCTCAGTACATTCATGTGAAGAGCAAGTCAGAGTGCCTCCCAACCACTCAGGATAAGATACGGGATTCTGTACTCAATCATTTGAAGGACGTGAAGAACCGATTTGTCTGGTTACGGGGATCCCCGGGGTCGGGGAAAACTGCTATAGCTATGAGTGTTGCATCCGCCCTCGAGGTGCAAGGTGCTCTGGCAGCATCGTTTTTTTGGGACAAAAACCGGACTGGATCGGGCCTTAATTCTACTGAACGGTTCCCTTCCACACTGGCACATCAACTCGCATCTTTTGATGAGGACTTCAGGTTGTCACTTGTTTGGCGCCTGCGGCAGCGAGATCTGCAATTGTTCCAGGATCTGCCCCTAGATAAGCAAATGAAGGCTCTTGTTATCGAGCCAATGCATAATCTGATGGAAACACTACCTCCCGGAAAAGATCGCCTTGTCATCATCTTGGATGGCTTGGACGAGTGCGGAGATCTAGAAGCACTCAAATGTCTGATGGAGCTTGTCCTTATCCTCGAAGAGTTGCCAGCTACATTTGCAGTATTTGTCAGCTGTCGTCCCGAGTCATTGGTTGTGTCAGCTTGGGATGAAGCTCGGGAACAGGGCCTTGTCATACCATGTGAGGATGTGGACATAATTACGAAGGAGGAGAAGTACCATACAGTCCGTTGCATGGTGGAAGATGGCCTTCGAGATTGTATTAGGAAGTCTCGATGGAAGCCTTCGGAGGAAGATCTGCATGCATTTACTTTGGCTTGTCGTGAATTGCCTGTTATGGCCTCAATTCGAATTCGCGAAGTCATCTTGCGGACACGGCATGGTCGCACCCTGCAGACAGAGTTCCAGTACCTGCTCAATCTCTCTGATGCACCCACCAATCTCGACTGGGAGTACTTGCGAATACTTCAAAGAGCCTATATGCCTGATTCATCTGCAATGCCTGCCGATGTAGCCAAGATGTATCACCTATTGGTTGGCACCATTATTGCGGCACGTACATCACTGAGTGTGTACTCTATGTCACAGCTTTTAGGAATTGCCGAGGATGAGGCCCAAGCCACATTGGAACCAATCAGCTCCATCATTGGAGAGGATGTGGAAGGTGTTAAATTCTATCATGCCACAGCGAAAGAATTCATAATGGGGGATCCAATTGGCAATGGAAACGACAAAGTGTTTTTTATCAATGACAAGCAAGGATTTTTCCTTGGACCACGAATCCTTCAACTTTTCAATAATTGTTGCAAGGAGAATAAATTCAGAATACCCACTAATCCCCCTCTCAGTGACAAAGAAAAATGGGCAGATTTTAAACTCAAGTGGGAGCAACCCCAACACATCCGATATGTTATTAACAATCTGCTTGACCACCTGGACCCTGCACAACTCTTTTCACAAGAGTCCAATAACAATGGATTGCAGAACGAGTTTAATTCCTTCCTTACACAAAACTTCCTTACATACCTGCACATGGAAGGGTGCCCTCATGTGCCAGCAGGATTTGATGAATACAATGTAAGTCTGAGTTGGTTCATATTATGTTTATATAAATGATGTGACATTGCTTTCAATAGAATCATGATGTAATTGAACTCCTGCAAGAGGGTGTGGCAGTATTCTATGGGGCAGCAGGCCATTCTTGGGTCATTCATCGATCATTATCTCTTTTCTGCCCACCTGGATCACCTCTTTGGGAACTATATGGCCACCTCTTTGAGCCTGTTTGGGTCTTTGGTCTTTCTGGCAAGATTTTGAGCCACTTGATTCAATTGAGTGAGGCTTCACTTAATGCCCAAACACTTATGGAGGTGAAATTAGATGGATGGCCAAAGGAGGTTGATATGTGGGGTCATGAAGAGATCAATTATGAAGCTGAATTCCATGATCCTGATGTCCGTAATGGCATTGTGACATGTGCAGCACTCTCAAGAGATGGTCGATACATTGCACTTGGGTTTGGTAGTGGTGTTATTGAGATTGCTGACATTGATGATCAGCATATGATCACTCAGTTCCAGAATCATCCACCCAATCCACCAGCATGGATTGAGTTTATCCAAGGTGACCATTGTGTTGCTACCGAGGATTTTGATGGGAACATCACTATCTATGGCTATGGGGTGCTCCCTGTGAAACTTGGCATTCTCCCTGTAGGCACCTATCCTGTTGTAACTGCAGTCTCAGATAGTGGACTCTTCATTGTACGAGTTCTACGGGATCCAGGAAAGCCTTGGTACAACAACATGGCATGTATAGACATTTTGGGTGACCCACACATTCAGCCACTTGCCTCTCCTCCTTCTGACTCTTCCATTCCATCCTCCCAATCCAATTCCGAGTCCTTTCCTGAGCGTCACACAGTTGGATTTTCTCCAGAGGCACAATACATTGCTGCCTTTGATGCGCACAGTGCTTTTACCTGGTCAACGGAATCAGGTGATTTTATTGCATGTTATGATGTACGGGGAGATAAATCTTGGATTATAAATCCTGGCATGGCCCCTACTTGCCCATATCACATCCCTCATCCAGTATCTACTCAACCCACTCTTCCATTGGCAGGTGACACAGTCCATGTGCATCATTCCTGGGTGGATGCAGGGCCTGACTTGGACAAGTCTTGGATCAAGCATCCATTTTTCCATCACTTGCCAAAAAATGAATGGGGCTATTCATTTGCTGCAGGAAGGACCCTGCTAGTCAATCTTTCTGGGTCGGGAGTATGGTTCAATGGAGACTCACAACTTGATGTCCCAAGAGGGTATTACCCATTTTATGTTAAGGCAAACAGCACCAACAACATAGATGCCTGGTATGGTGATCGACTGATCAATAATATCAACTATTTCTACTGCCCTCAGTCCAGCAAGGATGGTACTCGATTTCTGCTCCAGGGCAAGATGAAGGCCCCCATTGTTGTCGATATTGGCAAAGCTGCTTGGTATCTGAGTGCTACACTTGATTATGATTTCACAGTGCCTAGCAACTATTCTCCTTGCAGCACATCATCAGACATCTCTTCTCCCAGTGACAAATTATCTGATGATTCTTCTTCTGAAACATATGATGATTGACTGCTTTAGTGTTTTGCTTTTGTATGGGATTGTGCATTGTCTGTTTCTGTCAGGGGATGATATGTAAGTGTCTGCCTCTTCCCACTATCAATATCTTGTAAGTCAGCTAGTAGTATGTTGCCACATATTCCCTATCATATCATATATCATTACTCTGTTGCTGTCACTGCTGCCCCTATTCTGGGCTTTCCCTTTGTATCCTATGTTCACTGAAGGGTAGAACCTCAGTGTTATCAATGACTAGGTTTTTGGGACTCTTCTAAGTGTTAGAAGGCAGCAGATTTGGATGGTCCCAGAAGTGGAATGCGAGACTTAATGCATGAGGACCTTGGCCTCAGTGACTTAGAGGGGAGTGCTGTGCCACTACTGTTTGTCTAAGGGGGTCCTTAATTTCAGGGCTAACGAGGTTAGTCTTGAGGGGGGAATCCTGTCAGGGCACACCCACCTGACCCAACCCAGTTCCACTTCACCCAGTGCCCCTTTCCCCTCCTCCCTCTATTCCTTCTTCTTCCCATCCTGTCTCCTTCCTATTCTCTCCTCTTTCTATTTTCTTTTCTTTCTATTCCTATTTACACAGATGACCTTTCCTCATATCAATGTACTATTGAGCCATCCACAATGTGCACATGACACACCCAGTGCATGCACTTGCAGCAGATACCCTTGGGATCCCCTGCAGGGACACTGAAAGGGATCTTACTTGTTTTGGGGATGGTACATTCCATTCCCCTGTTTGCCTCAGGCCTCAGTTGGTCCGTCTAAGTATACACTTTGATGGGCTGTATATTAACAGGGTAGAAGCAAAGGCTGACCCACCTTTTACAGCTACCCTGAGGGTTTATATACATTCTTTTGCATTCTCAGCACAAATAAATAGAGAAGCTTCCATGATGCTAAATTAGCGTCACAACATAATTATCAGACAACACAACATCAATTGATGTTGTGGGCAGAATATAGATATGGGCTGGGGCCTCACAGGGATACTGTCATATCCATCTATGGCCATTGTCCTCCACTACCTCCGATCCTTCCGGACTACCTCTGCTCCTTCTTCACTAACCTTGGAGCCCCTGTATTCCGCAATCACCTCCGACTCCCTTGATGGTCACCACCCCCTCTTTTCAATATATTACCTATGCCTCCCTAAGTATGGAGCCCTGAAGGCCTCCAGACAGCTCCGATGTCTGCTGGTGCACTCCCACCCCCACTGGGCAATTCACTTGCTTGCCCTGCAAGTCTACCTTTGGGCCTATCCCTCCTTTCCATTTCTGGGTTATAGCCTGCCACTCTGCTAACCCTGTAACCCGACTTGTCAGTAATATTCAGTCAACTAATGCTTAACTCCATTAGCTCCGCTCTGCTCGGTCCCGCCATTCACAGGCCCACCCTCGCTGTAACTATATATACTTAACTTGTAGATAGGTTACACCCTAGTGATAAAATCGACTAGAGTTAATCTCCGTTCTCACTGCCAGTAAGTAAATTAGGGCATGGACATGTTACTAGGCACAGCACTCCTGGTCTGAGTCACTGAGGCCAAAGCCCTCTGCCATGGAGACATCTCCTTTGTCTCACATCTGGTCTCTAACAGTGGCCACACTGCTGGGTGGGTGTGGGAATTTGGTCTGTGGGGACTGGGAATGTGTCTGAAAAAATAGGGAAAAATCATGGAAGGGTAGGAATAGTATATGAGGACGTGTGTGATGTGTTTCGTGAAGTGGGGATGTGCAGGGATGGGGAAATCACGATATTCGGCTTGTTTGTGCAGTACCAGCTGTGCCCACCTACACCGTTCCTGCTGCATGAGCCCCAACTTCATTCCTATCCTCCTTGAGGACTCCCTGCTCACCCCCCCCACTTGCCCCTGGGCTCCCCTGCACTTGGCTGACTCCCCCACAGCCACACCAACCTTCCCACCCTGAGTCCGCTTCCAGCACTGTGCCCAGCATGACTCCTCCTACTCTGCCCACTTGGCCCTCACCAGGCTGCTACCATTCCTGTGCCTGACTCCAGCCCAACTCCGAGTCCGGCACTGCTACAATTGCCATCACCACTATCGCAGCCCTACACTCCTTCACTTATTTATCTGTTATTGTTTGTTTTGACCCTCGGTCATTGCCAGCCACTCTTTGTTCCCATTTGCTTCCGGACCCTTCGGCCTTCAGCCTGGGTCCGCTTCTATTCATTTCCTCTTCCTATATATATCCTGTATGATACTTTATTGTACTTCAGCTCTAATATCAACTTGATCATGACTCCCCAGGTTCTGACCCTAACAAGGCAACCCCAGTGAGTGTGAAATGAGGGCCAGGAGACAGCTAGGGGGCACAGCACTCCTTTAGAGTCACTGAGGCCAAATGCCCTACCCTCAGGCCTTGTTCACGGCATCATGGCTTA